AATTTGTTATCTAGAGTAGCTTCTCAATCAAATAAAGAAGGTAAGGTATTTCTCATGGTGTTTAAAAACTGAACTTCACAAAAGAAATTCTAAATTACCAGCTCTTTACCATGGTATTGTTACAAAAGCAAACTCACCTTGAATTATTATGTGCAGTTTTGGTCACCACAATATAAGAAAGATATTAAACTACTAGAGAGCATCCAAAGGAGAGCAACAAAAATGGTGAAGGGCCTTGAGGGGAAGCCATATGAAGAGCAGTTGAGGTCACTTGGTCTGTTCAGCCTGGAGAAGAGGAGACGAGGGGAGACCTCATTGCAGTTACAACTTCCTTGTGGGGGGAAGAGGAGGGACAGTGGTGACCAGTGACAGGACCTGAGGGAATGGCCTGAAGCTGTGTCGGGGAGGTTTAGGTTGGATATTAGAAAAAGGTTCTTCACCCAGAGGGTAGTTGGGCACTGGAACAGGCTTCCGAGGGAAGTGGTCATGGCATCAGACCTGATGGAGTTCCAAGAAGCATTTGGATGATACTCTCAGGCATATGGTGTGGCTCTTGGGGATGGTCCTGTGCAGGGCTGAGAGTTGGACTTGATGATCCCTGTGGGTCCCTTCCAACTCAGCATATTCTGTGATTTATATGTCTCACTGCAACTACAAGACTAGCCTAGGCAGGGTTCTTTGGCTTTTGCTGTCAATGTGGAGCTATTGATCCATCAACATAAATCCTTACTTATCTCCAGTCAAGTTTATAGGACAATGAAATTATAGGATTGCTTGAATCAATCAATGTTTCTAAAGCAAGCTGTAGAAATATAAACAAGTTACTGATTATTTAATAAAGTCAATTTGCTTAGAAATGCCTGGCGACGGGCAGCAGATGTTACAGTAATTTCTGCTTTCTCTGGAATTTCACAGGGGATGCAAGATCTTAATGTTACTATTAGCGAAGGTAACTTTATTTTAGAAACTCATTCTGAACTCTCACAGCAAGAGGAAGAAACTGTCATTCCTTTTGACCACAAAACCTGTGCTATTTCTAAGTGGAGTTCTTTGAAATAACTAGGATATCTCACAGCTTGTTGCTTTTAGAGGGGACTTAGTACAGTGGCACTACATTTAGTTAGCATAACGAGGTTTTTAGCCCCTAAGATATTGACTGAGTTTGAAGTACCAAAACTTTTAGTCAGCTAAGATTAAATTTGTTAGTGAAGTACAAGTTTGCATAATATTTTAGCTTTCCTAGAATTTTAAGCTGGGTGCCTGTTTCCTGAGAAGCATTTAGGTTAATATAATGAGGTTCTGACTTGGCAAAACAATTTAAGTGTAGAAGTGTGTCTTCCAGTTTCTCAGTTGGAAGTGTCATGAAAGTGGCCTCCTCAGCATGGTTTTACAGTTATTGTGTTTGCCTCCTGAGATCCAGTTTACTGGAGTGTTTTTATTCAAGGTGGTTCAAGAATCTTCCATGTGCTCATGGTGTCCTTTTGGTGCTCCCATCTGTTTTGAATGTAGAGCAAGATCTTTATTAGTAGACTCTGGTGCCTTGGTGGTCTGTCTGTTGGGTAGTTTATCATAGTTTGTAATGCAGGAGTACAAAATCATCTGATTAATCTGCCTAATCAATCCTTGAACAGGGATAGTAATAATTAAGTCACAGATGGCCATTATAAATCCCTCTATTCCAATAGATTAATATTTCCCGTACTTTGGATATTAGGGTTGTTTTAAATTTTAAAAAAATCCATGTGAAATGTGTCTTTGATCTTTTTAATTGGTATACTTTCAAGATATTAAGAATTCATTTTGGCTTTGGAAAGGTTTTTGTCTTTAAGATAAATTATTATCATACATACTTACACATTTTTGTACGTGGGCTTTGTTAAAGCTTATACATAAACTAGTCTCTGATTAATTTTTTTTAAGCCGTTTTATGGTATTTTGGTCTGCACTACTTTGTTGCTAAGCTGTCTATACCAGAATGTAGTTGATCTGTGCTACAAATTTCTATAGACCCTGGGCTTCCTTCACCTATGATAAAGTTGGTGTGGCTCAGCCTTAATTAGATTATTATAGATCTAAAACATACAAGGTAGAATAGCATGAGAGGAGTTGAAATTGGTCATTAGCAGGAGTACATGGTTAGTCTAGCTGGTGTAGTCATTAGCTTCTAAAATAGATAAGACTACACTTTCCATTTTATATGCTTTGAAGACAAGTCATAGTCCTTAATGTGATTTAGGTTTACTGAGAAGGTCTATGATCCTGCTTTTTAATAAGCTCTGTATTTCGTGTCAGAGTGATACCAGCGTATGTCAAGCATTGCTGAGGTTCATAGCCACAGTTGTATTCATTTGGAAGTTAAAATGCATTGTTTTTGGAAGAGCATTTACAGAAAATATTATTGCAGTCAGACAGGGCTTTAAGACATGAACGCTTCCTGTAAAACCTGGATTGTCTGGGTGCCAGGCTTTTTTTTTTCTTTTGCAGTTGAGGAACAATTCAGTTCCTCAGACTCTGAATGCTGTTACGTACTTCCCCGTTTAATACTTACCGCTGCCAACATCTGTGCAGGCTGAAGCTCTGCCTGCTCAGAATTGAATTGCTTCTGTCTTGTACATCTGCCATTTGCTGGGGAGCTCCAAGGCAGTGCCGGGGAAGGAGGGATGTGATGGATGTCTTCTTGTAGATAACATTTTGTTTGTGATGAGCAAGGCAGTGATCTATGGAATTTACTTGCTGCAGGAGAGAAGAGCTCGGATGGCACCGTGTCAAGGAGCTGCAAAGCTTGGTAGATGCAATCTGGAGTGAAGCCTGGTGGAGGCAAATGCAGACAGTGCTGCTGACTCATAGCAGTCTTAGAGGAAAAGGCTCTCTTCCACTTCTGCTTGCCTCTGGCTTCCTCCAGCATGTGGTTGGTGAGAACTTTGTCTCCCTAGTTCTCTAGGGAGAATAATATTGACCAGTGTGGCTCAACAAAAGGAAGGGAGGTTGGTGAAAAATATCTGTGCTATTAACTGGTTAATTAGGATGACATTTCTCATGTAAAGGACCTCTAAAGAGAGACTCGGGATTGATAAATAGCCTGTGTGCATTGCTGTCTGCATCCCTGATTCCTTTTCCCTCACCCTGCAAAGCTGAGATCCTTAACTCTGAGATGATGAGTGCGTGGGTCTGTGATGAGGACTGCTCTGGGTAGGTTTTGGAGTCAATGCTGTTGTGCCACCCTTCCTAATGGCTGGAGGTGCTGAGTTAAAATCCTTCAGTAAGTAACAGGTGATGAGGCTTGAAAAATAAAACAAACACCAACATCAAAACCAGAAAAGGATGAAAAGAAAAGCTTGATTATGTGTCATCTTACAAATTGTATGCTGATGTGAGAGCCTATTTTCTTTCATAATCCATGCATTTAAGAACTATTCATCCCACCTATTTCCCGATGTGACTGGCAAAAGACTCCAATGCTTCTTAAAAAACAAGTGAGGTGTGTACTTGACCTGTGTGTGCTGATAGGAGTTATGCAGTTGACTTTAATAGGAGAGCGTCTGAACTCTATATACAGAAAAATATGTCTTTTAACTCAAAAACCAAGTAAATAAAAGTACAGTGAAATCAGAATATTATTTCTTACCTTCTACACTTATGGGGATTAGTTTAGTTTTTTGAAGAGACTTTAATGCATATGGATATTTTATTTTTTAATTTTTTTTTAAAGAAGTCCCACGAAATCAGTTGCTGGTTGGGGTTGGCTTCTGCCCGCTGATTAATTTCTTGTGTCACTGGTCTTGATTCTTGTTGTAGTTGTTCTCAGATAACTTGCCAGCAGCAGCAAACCAGCAGAGCTGTTATTGACCCAGGATAGCAATAAAGTTGTTAATACAAGCAAGGTTTTCTGTGAACTACGTTGCTATTCTGTGGAGCTGATGAGCTGGTTAACACCTTTTACTTATTCTGCAAGGATCTGAGGCTAGAAGGGAATTAATGCAGCTGTGAAACACAGGAGAACCAAAATAGCAATGATTCAGTTAGAGTAGAGCCAAATCTTCTTAAAATTAAACTCCATTGTGTTAGAGACTTTACTTTTTTGATACCTATATTATTAACTTCTCTGATAAATGGAGGAAATGTAATACAGTGATATTGGAGAAGCCTTGCACATTAAATCTAAGCTATTGTCTTGGGGTTGTAATAGAAGAAACCACTCTTCATCTGGTGTGTTATAAGAATCAGATCTTACAGAATTTCTGTTTCTCAAGGTTACCATATAATTCACAAACTTAGTTTTTGCATAGCATTGATTTCCTTAACTTTCCGATAGGTTGTTTATAATGAGTGGGAAGTCTGCAGTACATATATGAGTATTTATAGTTTCATAAGTAACAAACAATACTGGACAGTTCAGGGAGGTTTTTGTCATGGGCAAGGGCATTTACTTGAAAGCTGCTGCTGTTGTTATCCTGAAGATTTTTTTGATTATGGAATTTGGTTACTTTGGTGTGTAACAGGTTGGTGGTCTTCTCTTATGGAGTTTTCCTCTAATTCCTCTTTTTATTTGTGATAATTTACCTTGTTCCTTTCTTTGAAGATATAACCAGCTTGTAAATTAAGTGCTAATGAGCTTTTATGTTGCAAAAATGCTCTATTTTTGCTATTTTGGAGAATGACACTATTTGTATGTCAGGGCACCCCTGAAAGTGTCTTAATATTTTTCTTCCATGATCTGTAACATGGTCAGGCTCTCTTCCCCTCTTTTTTCCCTACGCATTCCCCAGTTTCCCGTACTTGATGTCTAAAAACCTATTCAGCAGCACCGATGTCTCAAGCGGTGGATATGTAAATATTTACTGGTGTGATGGTCAACAACAGTGGGAGGGGGGAAATTGCTACATTCTACCATTCAGGGAACCTTCAAGTTCTGTGTCAGAGTGTGCAGTCGATGAGAAGAGGAAAGGTTTGCAGTTTGTACTTGACATGTTTTTGCTCTCTCGGTTCCTGTTTTGTTGCAGATGTCATTCATATAGCAGTGGAAGGCTTTATCAGCTCTTGCCGAGGCTTTCCCCTGCACTCAGCACTCAAGGCTGGAGCTGTAGTGGAGGAAAATGGAACCTGTAGATCTCCCGGCATTTGCCTCTGTAGAAATGAATAGTACAAGAGTCACCTTGGCTTTGCTGGTGGTCTTCCTGGTCCTGCTGTATTGGTAAGTGATAACAGTGGTATGGGCTGCATATCAGACACAAAGCCTGCTGAAGCTCCACCAACATCTACAAAGTCTTTTATTCATGTGGGGAAACTGGGAGATAATTGCCTGGGAGGGAAATGGAGGGGGAGTTGGTTTGGATGCAGAGATTGTACTAAATACTCACAAAACTCATGATGCTTTTAGAGAATTCTCCCCTTGCAATATTGTCTTGTAAGTGCTTTACCAACAAACTGCTAACAAAAATTGTCTTCAAAATGAAAAAAACCCAACTTATCTGTTGGTTTCTTTTTAATTTCTATGGGCAGCAGGAACATTGGTTAAAAAACCCCCAAGTTTTCATTGGACTTCTCTCTACTATGCAGCACACTTGTCCCTTGCCCTGTTTCTTGGCTGAAGTGTACAGACACTTTAACTGCTGCTTAAATTTCCTCTCTTGTTCTTTCCACGCTGACTAGTGGATACAAATCAGAATAACAGCAGCCCTGATGGTTAGCACAGTAGGCATTGCAGTGAGCTGTGCTGAAATGAGAAAACCTACCCTGTCCCAACAATTTATTTCAGAAATTAAATTAACAGAGCTGGGAGTACTTTTCTGACTGTTTTTACTTGTATACCTCCTCAAATCCTGCTTTCCAGTCAAAGAATGTTTTTTTTTCCTCAATTGTATGAGTGTTCAAGAAAAAGGTGTAGGTATGGTTGTAGAAAAAGAACAAGTGACAAACCCCCAAAGCTAACCTAGAAGAGAATAGTGATGGCACCATGAGTTTAGCACAATCGTTGTAGCAATATAAATGACAGATCACTTCTGCATGTATTTTGTCATTCTTTCACCCTGTTGAGCATCAATTTCCTTCTGTATCCAGGGAGGGTCTGGAAAGACTAAAAAGAGTCAAACTCATATCTGATGTGCATTGCCATATCAAGTAGGTGGGTGGCCCTGATTTCTTAACAAGATCTCCCCAAATCATCACAAATGTCCAAGTCCTACTTCCTTTGAATTTTACTGGGAAAAGAATGACAGCTCTAGATCTTTAAGTAAGACCATGCTGTTTAGCTGCCAACCTGTGCATCTCTGTGAGCTTAAGGGGATGAGGAGGACAGAGGCACATCCACAGTTCAGAAAAGCAGCAGATCAGGTGGTGAGATCTGACCACCTGTGAGTTATCTGAAAGAGCCTGATACTTCCACGTAGTACATGTCCAGATGTGCAGAGATCTGTGAAGACACAGAAGTGCTCCTTGTAAACGTTGGGTACATTCTGGTGTGTGCTTGTCCAGGGCCTCATTTTCCGGTTCCATTTAGGGAAGGCAGTTCCTTCCCTTGAAGTTATAACATGGTGTTTTAGTGCACATTCAGTCTTGCCATTAACAAAACTAGCTCTAATTGCAGAGTTAAGGCAGGCTCATGGCTATGGTCAGTCACTGCTGAACAGAGTGCCTATCATTTAAGTTTCAAAAAGTTCAATTTAGCAGTGAGATGGGAAATTGTCTGACAGTAGAGACATTCCATTTAGTGTGCCTCCTTTGCTGGTTGAAGGTGAGTTCTGTGAAAGCATCAAGAAAAGGAAGCTGAAGTTTTATATGGGGAAAGTGTTTTATACTCTTCCCTGCCAATGGTTATTACTGCCCAGTCTTGTTGATCTACAGATTCAGGTTGATTTTTAAGCAGCTTATTAAATACAGGTGTCTACAGGTCACTATTCCAATGAGAAGCTTAAACCTGCAAGGAAATATGCTGGGAAACATCTGTGGGCTATTGGTAGGTTTGCCTGGTGGCTGAGTTATTCAGACTCATTTATCTCAGTAAAATGCAGTGACTGAACCTGTAAGCTAATGTCTTGAAGCACATCTGCTAGTGTGGCGATTGTTGTTCAGACTTGTCAACTTATTCATTTTGAGTCTATTTTGTTTAGTTTTTTTACTGCATGCCTGTTTGAACAAATGAGTAAAGCTCAATGCATGCTCACAGATTGCTTTATTCATGGCTGAAACCTTGGGTTCAAGGAATCATTTAAACAGTAAAACGGTTGCCAATAGAAATGCAGGTTCTTAATGCTAGAGAATGTTTTTATTACAGTCATGTTGCATACCTGATTATCTGACTCTTCTAGGAGTCAGAAAACATGAGTGTTGTGTATGGCAGGAGTGATAATAAAGTAATAACTCTTAAAGTTCTTTTGATGTTTATGTTTTCATTCTAAACCTTATTCACATTATTTAATAACTCCTGAATTATTCTTTTTCTAGCTTTTTCTGACAGGATTGTACCTTTTCAGAGGAGCAGTCATGGGGGAAGGGAGGAACGAATACTTGCTGTTGTAAATTTTGTTATGGTACTAGCTTATAATTGATCGGGGTCATGTTGTGTCAACTCTCGTGTGAGTACAAAGAACAGGCAGTTTGTCCAGCTTGTCGGCTGTAAAAGGCTTAGTAAGGCTCAAAAGAAGGCAGTTGCAGGTAGAGGAGAGAGTCAAAAGATCTAATGCACACTGGAATAGGAACATGGTGATGGCAGCTGTCACACTACTGAGCTATTTCCTTTGCATGATTTTTGTGGGTGGGGGTACTCAGTGGTTTAAATGACAGCCTTGAGCTGCTGTCCATCAGCTCGGCCTCAGTCACTGTTAGTGTGTGTGTATTGTAGGGCCAGCTGTGATTTGTCACAGTTTAGCTGGCAGGTGGTATCTTGCTAAGCTGTGATAAGACCAATCTCTTCACATTTTTGGGTATGGTGAGGTCATATGAAGAATGGGTTGATTGGGAAAGGGAGGAGAGGGCAATAGTGGCATAAAAATAAACTTCTGGGGAAGATAGAGTTCTTAGGAAGAACCTTAATGATTTGATAATTTTTTTGGCTGTTATTTATGGTACAATGAAGATCATCAATAACTCTTTATAAAAAATCCTTTAATAGCACATCTCTGATTCCTCATGTGTTGTCATCAGTGTAATATGAGGGTGATGCTTGTAGTGCAGTGTGTCAATTTAAGTCAGTGGAAGCAAGTATAATCTCTGTGTGTGTCTTCCACATGACCTTAAGTCAGCTATAAGGAAAGGCTTTTTAAGGTAGTTGATCTAATGTTGAGAGTAGAAATAACTGAATAGCTTTTAGGTACATAGTCTCTTGAGATATGAAACGGGAAGAACAAACCCAAGGTTGGTTTTTTGTTAATTAATTTGGTTGGTTAATTCAAGAGGCTGCTCAAACCTGTTTGCTGTCCCCCATTCCTGAAGGACTTAGTCGTCTGCTACCCTCCCCATTCTACTTGTTCTCAGTAGGTGAAAGTCTCTTCTTGCAGACTTCATATCACGGATTCTTGATGGCTGTTGCTACATCATTGCTATTGTGATAGGCAACTAAATTACTGCTTTATTGACCACAAAAAGGCATAATGTGGCTAAATACCTGAAGTTCAGTCATACCAGTGGCACAACACTTAGCACTCTTAAAAAAAATCTCTTGTCCATGTCCCTCCCAGCCCCTCTGATTTCTTTCTACCCAAACTGATAATCAGAACAGTTTCTTTTAAGTGCACTTTCTCGAGCAGTTGCAAGCACTGCTGTCTCTATTTGCCTAATCTCTGTGAATCTCAGGGTTTTTTTCAGGCATGAAATAAAACCAAACACTTAAGGGAGGGATGAGGTTAACATTTACAAATCCCAGTAATATTCTCTATTGAAAAATACAGTAGTATATCTATGCAACATATTGTTCATTTTCATTTCAAACATATGCTGAGTTGGATATCCCATGCTTGGCTGTAGCTGCAAACATTGCTTTGTGTCTTTCTTTTTGCTGTCTGGGTAGATGTTTGATAAAATGAAAGCAGGAGTTTATCTTGCTTTAAAGTTTAATGTACCATAAGCTGAGCATTATGAAGAAGCTGTCACAGCATTCAGATACCTGTGTTCAAACTGGATTATCAACCCCTTGTCTAAACAAACCTGGGTTTTTTTAGAAACATGGAGGTTGGATGGGAGTGTTTGTTTATGTTTGTAAGATACATGTCTAATTGCATGCTTTCAAACATAGCAAAACATATACTAATGGTGTTCTTGGCTGTTTCTGAAAAGCTAAGTAATTCAGAAAGATGTCATTTGCACATTTTTACATTCTACATTTTTACAGTAATATTAATAATCACTTGTATTACAAACATCTATAGAGAGCCTAAGAGATCTGGGTTCCACTGGATCAAGATACTGTCCACCCATTGCACAGCAAGTCGATCCTGACCCAAAGCATCTGCAGTCTCTGATCAGAAAGAATGAAAACTAAGTATTTTTCTTCCTCTGATCTTAAGTTTAGAAGTTTGCATACAGAGAGATTTGGGAGATACTTACATATGGGAGACATGTTAGAGTTCATCAGTTGGTACCATACCTGTACTAGACCACATCAGAAGTTGAGCTCAGGACAGGTAGTATTTCAGTACAGATGACTTCAGTATGATTGCTTGTTTGGCATTACTTGGCATTCTGTTGTTTTGGAAAGGGAAAGTTTAGAGGTGATCTTTCTCCAGCAAAAACTTCATTCTGGTTTTGCAGAACTTTGCTCTTTGGGCTTGAGTTAGGTAAAACTGAGGTCAAATAGATCTCAGGTGTTTGGGTTTTTTTCCAAATCGGATACTAATACGAGATCTTTGACCAATTTTTCTGCTTGAAAAATCACTATTTACTGAAGATGTTTGATAGCTAGAGCTTTGAGCTTATAGTCTGAGCGCAGGCATAAGGTGAGCAGGTTATTCTCCCTAGCACATCCAGATAATGCTTCTGGACAGACCCAGGGACAAGCAGTAAGAAGTCTGGATCCTTTCTGGATCCACCACTGACTGTGGGTGGGCAGGCTCTAACCTTTCCACCTGTCGCTGCTGCCATCAAAGGCACAGTGTTGCAAGGACCACTATGGCTGGAAACAGGCCTGATACAGAGCATCAATATACACTCAGAAAGATGTACAGCTCCACTCTCGCGTCAGGCTCTTTGAGCTGAGAGGTT